ATACTCCGTATGCAGGTGATGAAGGTATATTGCTGCATAAGTAAGGGAAGTTGAAGATAGAAAAGTTAAAGTCATCACGTTTATCCTATAGCTTGGTTGTTAGATTACCATTAGTGTCTTTTTCAAGTAAAATATCCAAGTATGAAACAGAAGTGTTGGACTCTGTGGTATTTTTTATCTCAAGCTCACCAGGATGTATCGTATCGATATAAAAATGGAAATTACATTTGTTCATTGACAATATGTCGTCGATATATCTAAATGTCGAGTTGAAGGTTACAACAAGTGTTTTCTTCTTTTCACGCGTAAGATTTTGCACAAATTCTGCTTCATATGAATATAAAAATAAGTCTGCTAATAACGGAGAGCAATTTGTACCCATGGGAATTTCAATAGACTGTTGGAATACCTGGTCTCCAAAAGCCACATAAATGTTGTCAGTCAGAAACTCAAGCATCTTCTTGATGTCAACTTCAGAGTACTGATGTGTACAATCAGAATCTGTTTTAACAAAAAAATTTGCAAATGACCAATTACGAGGTAAGCAAATTTACGAGTTCCATTTTTATTGAAGAAGGAGCTGTCAATGATATCAAAAAGTCTGGATTTTAATTTGTCGTGGGGAATTGATGTGTATAAAGTTGAAAAGTTGAACAATTTTCATTCGATATAATATGTTAGTGTACAAAAGGAGACAACTCAATTCAACATATGGGTAAGAGAGTAATAGCTTTAGAAGTTTTCTTGCTTTACAAATGCCGATGTGAGAAATAATAAAAGTACATAATTCTAAGTAAGCTACAAAAATACAGATTATGTCCTGGATTAAAAACTAACCGAGATCGTGATGATCGTAATTGTTTTAACATCGTCTATGTTAACTCCCTTTCTTTGCCCTCTCTTTATCTACTGTATTTTTTTGCCCGAAGCTAATAGCAACATATTCTAATTTAAAAAGAGCATTCATAACAAATACCAATGCAGGTAAAAAGAGCATAAACAAACAAAAAAATTGTCTGATATTAAATTTAAGTTACACCTGTCACAAGAATAAACTAAATGAACATGAAGATAACGAACAGTATTTAAGATCTAAAGTCCATTAAACAATACCAAATGGGAGCGGAGCAAACACGGACCTCCAAAAGAGCAGAGGTGGGATCAGGTGCCATGGAGGACTAAACATCCCCTGCTGACCGGTCACACCCGCCGTGTGCTCCTTGTCGTGATCGGTAAATAACGGAAAATATCCGTCGTCAATTCAGTGTATAGATAATGGACTAACAATTAGTATGAAAAACGTCAAGCAGCATTTGACACCATGATAAATTTTATTTGCTGACAAGGTCAGTGTATCGACCACAGAACTTAGGAAAAGATGACTTAAAACGAGACTGTTCTGGTTTCATCAATTTGTTTCTCAAAAATTTACCTCGTTTTAGAAGTTGTTCATACGTAGAGCAAACTCTTGCGTATCGTATCATCTGAGATACATAAACTCCGTAAGCAGGTGGTGAATGTATGTTGCTGCATTAGTAAGGTAAGATGACAATTGTAAAGTTAAAGTCATCACGTTTATCATAGAGCTTGGTTGTTAGAGTACCATTAACGTCTTTTTCAAGTAAAATATCGCAATTGGCACCCACAGAAATTCCAATAGATTGTTGGAAGACCTGGTCTCCGAAAACGACATACATATTGTCAATCAGAAACTCAAGCATCTTTTTGATGTCAACTTCAAAGTACTTGTTCGCCTGCGTGGCGCAGTGGTTAGAGCATCTGCTCTAGAGTCGCGAAGTAAGGAGTTAATCCTTACGTCGCGGGTTCGAATTTCACTGAGGGACGTGGAGACTGGTCCTTCGGATTAGACTGTATAAACTGAGGTCAAGTGTCGCAGTAGGTGCTGGCACGAAAAAGATCCCTCCCTGCTCAATGGCCCTGAGTGCCGAGTACAGGACAAAATTTGCAGCTCTCCACCGGCAAGTGGTGGCGTCTCCATATGTGTGAAAATTTCTCGAGAGGGACGTTAAACAATATACAATCAATCAATCAGAGTACTTGTGTGTGCAATCAGAATGTCTTTAACAAAATAATTTTGAAAATAACGAATGACATGGTTATTAAATTTACTAATTCCATTTTAAATGAAAAAGAAACTGTCCATGTTATTAAAAATCCTAGACTTTAATATATCGTGTTGAATGTTGTGTATAAAGTTGAAAAGTCGTTAGTTTTTAAGCTGTTGATTTTAGTAAAATTTTGGGATTTCAAATTGTCCATAAGTTCCTTGGAATTTTAAAGTATCCACATTTGATTTACAACACTTCTTGAATATAAAGTTGCACAGTACTCTTGAAGTTTCTCCTTCACTTCTGTTAATATCTAAGTGAGGAGTAAAGAAAGAGGCGTGGTTGAGCATTTACTTGAACCCCCAATGTATCTTTGTTTGTAAGGACTTTTATGAAGTTTTGAAATCCAAAATAGAGATGGTTATTTAAATTCAATGAACAAAAAAACCCAAAAGAAACAAACAAAAAGGTACACATAATAAAATTTGCTCTATTTGATATATAATAATTGTATATTTACATACAATTAAAATAAAAATAAACACTTAACTAAAAATGGCTAAAAAGATTGGACTTTTTCAAAAACCATGCCAAAACTTGTGAAAATCAGCAGGTTAGAGACACGTACCCCATACAGATACGTTTTTGGGGGGTTGGGGGTGGTGGGGGGTTGGGGTTGGTGGCGGTGATAATACTACTTTTCTTTTTACCTTTAGATTAGGCGCAAGTTGGAACAAGCAATGAAAGAATGGGAGAAGAAATGATTTTACCAAACAACATGCTCTACGTATGAACAATTTCTAAAACGAGGGAATTTATTGACAAACTTGATGATGAAACAAGAGTTTCAGCTGTCTCGTTTAAAGTCATCATTTTGTTAGTTCTGTGGTCGATACAATGACCTTGTCAGCAAAAAGAATTTATCATAGTGTCAAATGCTAACTGACGTTTTTCATATTTATTGTTAGTCCATTATTTATACACTGAATTGACGACGAATTTTTCCGGTAATTCTCGATCATGACCAGGGGCACACGGTCGTTATGACCGGTCGTCAGGAGATGCTAACTCCTCCATGGCACCTGATCCCACCTCTGCTGTTTTGGAGGTCCGTGTTTGCTCCGATACTATTTGATTTTGCTTAATGGACTTTTGAATACTGTTCATGATCTCCATATGTTTCATTAATGTAAAATTTTAACCAAATATAATAATCCACAGCGATTTATCAGATCTTTGAATGTTCTATGTTCAGAAACCTTTTCAAGACCTTTAACAATATATTTGAATTAGATATTCCAAATTAAATAAAAAAATAACATTGAACCATTTTCGTGATTTTTTAGATAAGAAACTTAAAAGAGTTGATAGCATTTTTTGAAACATTATATTTACATTTAAACACAAACTAGCTAGGAATGACATTTACATTTTTAGATAGATTGTAGAAGATAAAGAGAGTAAATATTGTTGCTTTATTTAAAACCTTTGTTCTAGCATGTAGACGCTTTAAAGTATTTGATCTTTGTTTCATGATTTTCAATTGACATACACAAGTATATTAACAATTCGACTATTACTCAAGGGATCTCCTTCCTTTGAGCTGTGTTTAATTTGATCAAACTGTTATAAATTAGTCACAAATTCTCGGTACAGTATTCTAAAGTTTTATCTCTTTTAAATACAATTTTAACAGTGAAATACTATAAGCTGAATATAGACTGTCCATTGAGCGAAAGTGGTATTTAGTAACAACGAGACAAAATATTAGAAGAGCTGGAAAACTCTCAATTATCCTTTGCCGATAATATTATACACGAGTTTTGTCCGGTAAAATCGTGGACAAATTTCCCTATTTTAGAAATAATAATCACTGCGTTCTAAAATTTTCACTACTCTTAAGTACCTTTTTCTTTATTATACATAGAAGATTTGAAATAGATATATGTATAAATAAAGAATTTATGAGATAATAAGTTAATAAGTTATTTGTTATATCACCTTACTGTACACGGATGGTAACGTCAATTTGTCTAAAACAGAGACACGTTTGCTATTTGCTTAAAAAAACGTAAATTTAGGTATTTTATTGATGCACATACTTGCATTTTTCTACATTCTTCCTAAATAGCCTAGGAACTAGAATATATTCTATCCGACTCCTGAAAAAATTTTATGTATTAAATATTGCCAAGGTTATAATTACGGAGAGCCTGCTAGAACAAAGCAAGCTTTCTTATTAGCCTGGGTTTTAAAATGGAAAATATGAATTACAAAACAATTGTACAGATTTTTTTAAAATATGAAAATATATAGAGGTAACCAGCGGTATTCGAGATCAAAAGTCCATTAAAAATTGCAAAATAGGATTGGAGAAAACACGGACTTCCAAAATATCAAAGGTGCCATGGAGGAGTGAGCACCCCCTGCCGACCGGTAACACTCACCTTGTGCTCCATGTCATAATCAGGAAATAATGTAAAATCTGTAACAATCAGTAGGAAAAAAAGTCAGTCAGTATTTGACTTAATGAAAAATTGTATTTGCTGACATTAGATCATTGTATCAAACATAAAACTTTCGAAATGATGACTTTAAACGAGACTGTAGATATTATTGTCCCTGAGGTAAGCACATGCCACGTCATTATTTACGACACATTAATTCTTGAATCGATGAAATTTTAAAACGCTATATCGAAGCCAAATTAAAATAATCAATAAAATTTCATAAATCTAAGTGGTTTTTACCAGATATTATAAATGATAGTTGATTGAAGTGTTTGACATGTCCAATGTTTTCAATCATATAAATACTTGGACTTTGTCCATATAATTAGAAGTATTTCAATATGTTTTGTTTAAACTTTGATCCTAAATAACAAGAGTTTATTGAAGTACGGTCATAAAAAGTTTATTATGCACAATGAACGTTCATTCATTTATACCTTTAGACAATGTTCTCCAAAGCTGCAGTGTTCAATATGGTCTTAAAATTTTTATGTACGTAATAAGTTGAAAAATCCTCTTGTTTAAAATTAATGAATTCTGCAAAAAGTACGAATTATCTATTTAAGATAATGGATTTAAGTTGTATACATTTAGTGTAAAATTAATGAATTTAAAACTACAACGTAAGTCAATTATAGAATTATTCGATGCCACTTTATTTCAGTACTAATCACACATGAAGTGGCCTCTGAATGTGAAAAATTCACAACAGGTTTGGTCGGAAAATTAATCATATACGGATAAAATGAATGAAATTTGCAGTAAGTATTTTATTTATAATTCATGAAAAATGTATGTTTTCCCTTTGTAGATCATATTATAAATGTAACACCTATTGATAAAAGAATTGGAGACAACGTTACAATTGATTGTAAGTTAACTGACTCTACTAAAGAACAGCAAGTTCGATGGGAGCATCTTTACGGAGTTGTCCGAAGGGTATTCACCGAATCATACATAACTTTGCTGAATATATCTTACTTGGATATTGGAACATATCGTTGTATTGATATAACAAGCTGTGTACTGAAAGAAGTTACTTTGAATGTTCAAGGTAAGACAAAATTTGTTTTAATAGATAATAAAATCATATAGGATACAAAGGTTAAGCTCCCTAATGATTGTTCCTCAAAAAGAAATGAAATAAATGGAGAGTAGTTTTCTTTCACAGGTGCTCCATCTATAATTAGAACGAGGAATTACGTTGAGATGAGTGACGAAATGGCCATTACTTTTACAATTGAAACTATAAGCTTCCCGCCACCAGACAGAAATGTCACGGTTCGACTTTGTAGTCAGGAAAACAAAGGCAGTTTATTTGATGTGCAACCATTTTCAAGCTGGATTACTTTGTTCTTGAACTCTTCTGAATATTCAACAGCGGGATATAATATAAATCTGACATTAAACGTTGAAAAACTGACGGAGAACGGGTTGTACTGTGTTGACATTTCCAACAAATTAGGAAAAACGTCATTTTCTTTTTACGGAAATTTTTCAGGTGTTAATGATGTCATGATCAAGGAGAAAACATTTTGTAAGTAGCTTTCAATCAGCTTTGATAAATAATTAATGATTATCTGTAAAAAAAAAAATGATATTTTTCATTGGAACCAACACTTTCATTGTAACCACAATTGCAAGTGGTGTACATGCAACTTATATGATCTTGCATCTTATGATTGTGGATTAAAACAGGTTTAAAACAGAAAAAATAAAACTTTATTGATACGAGTATAAAATACAATTCTTACAGTGCTTTTTCTGGAGGAGAACGTAACAATCATCACTCTCGGTGGATTGGGTCTTTTGTCACTTGTATTTGTCTTAACTATCTTTGTATTGTGCAAGAAATTGAAAAAGGGTAAGATTTTTATGTTGTTTGCGCTTCAATCATAGAATTAGATCAATTGTGTCATTTGTTTTATTTGCTCATTCTTTAAAAAAACATTGTTTTTATTAAATTTCAATTACATTTCAGTGGAAAATAAGAGGTAAGATACGAAAATAAATTGGAAACAGCATTCTAAACAAACTTGGTGAACAACCTTTAAAATTGAATGAGAAAATCCAATGTCTCCTGGTGAATTGTTCCGTTTGCAAAGGTGTGAAGACATTTATCATAATCAAGAAGTCGATACCTTTATAAAACAGAGTAACTTAATTTTGGTTGAAACGCGTCATTAGATTGCATAAAAAAAGCATCTATATTGTATAAAACGGGTTGCCAACGTCACAGTGACTTACGTCAAAAACGTATCAATCCGCTTGACGTTACGTTTAAACGATGGACAATTTGAAACATTTTTTAAAGGAGAAATTATCTTGTTTTCTATTTTTAACGATTGAAAATTAAATCATAAGGAATCAATTAAATAGCACCCTAAGTTATGCTGGTATAACCTTGGTTGGAGCAGTTTCCGCATTTTGTAAAAGGTTTATAAAGGGTAAACTACCCCAACCCAGGAAATAAAGTACTAGTATAACTTGTGTTGCTATTTAAGGTAGTATAAAATAACTGTGGATTCTATTTAACCTAATTTCTTAAAAAGTACTTGAGAAAAAAAGAACAATATTACTATATTAACAACAATGAATGATCCAAGTAAAAAAAATATTAAGTTGTGGTATATTTTGTGAAAAAAAAATCACAGAGTTTTCTATATATTGGTCACTTGGGGACTTACATTTTAGAATATCTAAATGGAATAAACAAGCATATAACAGTCTGTTATTAAATGTTGTGTAACTTTCGTTCCATGAATAGTAGAGGGCTGATATTTGTCATATCTAAATGTCAACGTCATCTTCAGAATCTTTTAGTTTTTTGCATTGGAATTTTTTAAATCCCCAATATATTTGAAATCACCAGTTAAATTTTCTTTATTTTTACATATTTTTTTCTGGGACCCATTTGAATCGTTCCGTTGATTTTTCGTGAAAAACTAATCATAAGAAATCATAAGAAATCGTAAGAAAAATTAAAGTGTAGGATATTTACAAGTCAGTTTTTAATTCCGACGCTATATACTAGTAATTATGTTTTATTTTTACATAATATTTTACTCAAATTTTCCAGTATCAATATAACTTACTGAGTTTAAGTAATAAAAAGGTTAGCTTGATAAACAGTATTGCAAAAACTTGCAATTGATCAATTGATAATTTCAAAATTAGGCTCATTCTCAAATCGAATGTCTGAATTCACAATCTTGCAGGGATCTGATAGGCCATAATTATTTCAAACTATGTGGAAAACAAGATGTGTTTGTGATGTCAGTACGGGATTTTACACACTTTACATAACTATTTGGCATGTTGACTTAATTTTCTTGCATGTTGTCTTGCATGTAGGGGGCAGAAATATTCAACCATAGTTTCTCATTAAAATCTCTGATTCTACTTTACATGCTTGAAACGTTTTTCCTTCAGTCAATGGGTATCTTTAAAAGGTGGACTGAATCATTCAATTTTCAGCTGATTCGCACATTGAAACTTCCCATTGTGCACAAGATCCATATTAATTAATATACCAGGAAACAGAATACTTGTAGCAGGAGAAAAATTCGCAAATTAATATATATCTGGCATGCAAATGATGAGATCATCAGCATTTACTAGTGCACTATGAAATGTCTTGGACCACCTTTTATCAATTGATTTTATAGTCCAAACAAATGACATTTTCAAAAATATGAAATCCAGTCCCCTCCCCTTTCAGAGTATGGACCAATAAGGGTAATGGGTAATACTGAGTAATACATATATAGTATGTTTGAGAAAAAACAGTACTGAAAAAAGTTTTACCCCCACTTTATGTTGATGTTGAAGTAATAATAATAACCAATAAGGATAACCAACTGCAACGATATTAGAACTTTCGAATTGGAGCATTTTTTCATTCTTATTCATTTCTGTTGCTTGTCATTGCATGTTCTTTTCGGATTAGAATTTTTTCTCTGCCCCCCTCCAAAACAATGCTGCGTCACCGAAAGATAATGGGTTGATCTCACAAATCTAAAAATGATACAAATATGTGAAAATGGCATGTTATACGGACTTGGATTCATGTTTTTCAAAAATAAAATTTACAAACCCGGTATAAGCTTGAATAATTATAAACTGATTTGGAATAACTTTTTTTTCTTTTGCACCTTTGAGGTATAATTGCAAAAAAGATATTAATCCATTTAATTTTGCTGATTAAATTTCATTGCAGATTATCGAAATTGTTTAATGCAATGCAAACAAGGACATCTGTTCCCTCCTCCCATTCCTACAAAATGACACAGCTCAGTAACGATTTCTTCCAGGACCCAGTTCCTTGTCAAACTGGAACATTTACAACACGAAGCATTCAAATGAGAGGTGGGTTTAACAATGTCTCTCTAGTTAGGAAACTCTAAATCATGTTTAAAATACTTTTATTTCTTTTCATGCATTTTTTAGACAAGCTATATGACCCTAATGGAATTCCGAAGAATTTTTCGGGAAGAATGGACTCAAGGTTCTATTTATTTATCATTCAAAGCTAATTAAAAAAAATAATTGGATAAGAAAGATGATCAATATTTGGTAATATCCTTATTCATTGATATTTCAGGGTGTATAGTTTTGGACAAAGTGAACCAGAATATTATGAAGATGATTTTTAAAATATCACTCTTATATGAGAGAGAGAGAGAGAGAGAGAGAGAGAGAGAGAGAGAGAGAGAGAGAGAGAGAGAGAGAGAGAGAGAGAGAGAGAGATTAATTACAAGTATTTGACATCTTATTTAATACTCAATTTCTACAATCAATTTTATAAAATCTAAACAGAAAATACATGTCTGTGTTCAATAAATTACATGCATTTTTAATAGTGGCATCAAAATGATTTCTGAACCAAAGGTTCAAATAAGAGATATATCAAAGAGTGTCTGGCGTTCGTCTGTTTGGGTGCTTATCTTTAACTTTTTGCTTTTGAATTTCCCCCAACCAATTGGTCAAATTGTAAGGAATCTTACCTTAAACTATTGGTGAAGAGAACTTAAAATTGTTCAAATAAAGGGTGATGCCCTTTCATAGAGGAAAAAAGCTTAGAATGGTGTAAATGAATGCTGGTAGTAATTTATAAAAGCCAAAGCTGCTTTATCGACGACACGGCCGACTCAAGAATTAAAGGTTCATTGATATTCTGATAAGAGAGATAACTCTTAATGACAAAATGTCTATTAATCCTTTATAAATTTGCCAAGATTTGTCCAATTTTGCTATGCTAAAGTTTGTATTTTACATATAAAATACATTTCTTTTGGAAAATCATAAAGATTCAAGCAACATTTTAAATGAGTGAGCAGAGGGTTTCTGAACCTCAAAGGGAAATCACTTGTTCAATTTATTTTAAATTTAAGATCAAACTATGTAATGTGATTTTAGGACGAGTGTTGTATTTTCATAGTTACAATTATTTCAAATGAAAATTATTTTAATTGTTCAATACTCTCTATTTCTGAAACAGAATATTTTGAAAATCAATTAAAATAAAACAGGTAGCTATGAATTTGCAACATTTAATAAAATTGTTTAGGACTGTATTTTCCCAAGATACCTTCAAAGAGTAATGTATATATTATAACTTTCTGAAATTAAGTAGATTATAAAATACGACGAAGAAAAACGTAGAAAAAATACACAAATTTAAAAATTAAAAAGCAAAAATGGAAAAATGTGGGGTCGAACTCGCAATCACCATATCTAAATTCCAGCAATCTTAACGCTGCACCAACGAAATTAACGATTCTAATTGGATAAATTTAAGACAGATTGATGAGTCTTACAATTATATGAGAGAAAAAAAAATGAATATGGGTACATATTTTTATCATTTTTAATATGGAGACCTCTTTAACTCCAGGCAAAAAAAAGTTCAAACAACGATGCGTATATCCATAATACATGTAAATGTAATAAGAGAGATTTGCACAAAGAGTTGTCTTTCTTTGTACTTTAGTACAAGTAAATGAATAAATACGAGGACTGTGAATAAATAATGTCCTGAACTGTATGACATACAATACAGATATCATTTGACATTAAACTTGACTTTTTCGCATTATTGAATCTTTAGTGAATTGATAGCAATTAATGTGACTACTTTTCATCACATAATTTCGTAGTGAGAAGCTGGAAAACAAGGGATATACGAGACACGGCATTAAAAAAAATGAATGTTAAAAAATCAGTTAACGAGAGTGAAATTAAACGCTTCATTAAAGTTGCTATAAAAGTCGTTAAGCAATCTAAAGAAATATTCACTGAAATATATATGTAAAATTGAGGACAATCAATGTCTGTTTTATAAATGAGAAGGTGGATTTCAATTATAAACAAAAAATTTAAAGGGCATCAAAAATGGGTACCGTCCTTGCCAACAAAAAAACTTATAACAACTAATGTAATGTTTGCCAATTTTCAACAAATAATCACTGTAGTTGTACGATTGACTTTAAGACACATAGTAAATTTGATAGACATCATTTCGGGAGTACTTTACACTGTTTTTAAGAAACGTTTGACAGTAGAAAAGCTTAATACTCAAAGGTCAACCTACGTTTTGTAAAATGAGTAAAAACGACACCTTGTAAGAATATCTAAATAATTATTTTAAAATATTACGATTGTTTGAAATTCAAACAATTAATGAAACTTGAATCTATTGCTTTAAATCCTCGAAAAAAAAATTTACAATAAGATAAACTTGACAAAAACAGCAAATGTCTGAGAACAAAGAATTGCAAGAGTACAGAGACAGATTTATATGCCATTTTTAAAAACTATTAGCGGCCTTGTTCAAATTTGTATTCAGAGAGGTAGTTTAATTTTCTGAAGAAGTCGAGAAAGGAAATGTTTTGCAAAAAAAATGAAAGATTAATGAGAGGAAGGAACCAGAATCAGAAATCCACTACATTAAATTTCTTCATGACAGCGTCCAAAACCGCACACCCTGAAGAGTAAAGGATTTTTTTTGGATAAACAGAAGGTTAATTTTTTCACATTAATACTATTCGCCAGATCTTTCGCCTTTTGACTTGTTTCATTTTCCAAACTTGAAAAAAACACCTTTAAGAAGGAATAAAGGAGTCCAGGAAATAATAAGATCTGTCATTTTCCTGTATAGTAAGGGACATACTCAATAATGAGTTCTAAAATCAATCAGATACTGGATAAAAAAATTTACGGACATATGTTTCAATTAAAAGAGAATATTAACTTAATAATTAAGTTAAATCATTAAGACTAACTCATTGAAAAGCATCTTTTGTTTCTGTCCAGGCACAGCGGAGTAATTTATTGAATAGCCCTTGTAAATGTTCTTCCAGTTCAAAAAATGGTGTTTCGTGAAAATGAACCACATTTGTTTCCCCGAAAAGAAATTTGGTATAAGTAGAAGGATGATGTCATTTGTTTTGCTCAGCCATATACATGTGTACTGCGGATTCTGTTCATTGTCGTAGGGTCCATGGTTGAAAATTTATGTTTATACCTGCAATAATTTTAACATTCCTTGATAATTCGTGATAAATTTCACCGATTCTGAAAGAGGAATAAAGTATTTGTTCAAAACAGGTAAATAAGTTTCATTATGGAACCTTAAATAAAAACTGTATAAAAACATTTTAAAACTTAAAATCGCATTTTTCCCCAAACTTTTAACATCAAACCCGTTCGACTTCTCAACATTTTATTTTCGAAAGAATTGTACATATTTGTTATGTTTGGTTCTGCATATATTTCTGAGGGACAACCCTAGTTTATTAAAATGTTGTCTCGATTATCTCACAAATTGAAATGTTTTTCAGAAAGATATTGGACCTAATTGTATGATTATATCATTAGCTGCTGATCCCATCCCACCTCTTATGTTGTTGGAGGTCCATATCATGTTTGCCGTGTTCCCGATTTGTATAGTTTGAATGGACTCTGAGCTTGAATACTGATCGTTATCTTCATATTTCATCTGTACCACCATCTTCATATTATGTTGATTTCACACTGAAGCTTGACCTTCGAAAAATCAAATGATGAATTGATAAATATAGAATCAAACAGAAAAAACATGTGCAATTCTTTCGGAGAAAAAAACAACAACAAAAAGTTCCCCTTCCCTAATTTACAGATTGTATAATGTACCTTTCTACCTTGTCCCTAACGTACGTAGGGAAATACTCAAGAATAAACAGATTGTTAATAATAATTAGGAACTGTTCGATAAAATGTGGTAAGTAAACCAAGTAGTTTTAATTTCCCGATTATACTAAGTGGTGCCTAACACGATATATTTTACTCTACATAAAAATATAGAGAATTGGGTATCACAGAGCTCAGTGTTTAAATATAATTAAGAGACGTTCTTTTAAATAGCCCTCTTTTTTATGATCTGCGAGTGAGAGCATTTATTTTCCTTTGTTCATATTCATTTTTTGTTGGCTAAATAGTTAAGCTAAACCCGCTTCTATATAACATATCCACAAATACTATTTATTAAAACGTGTTTATGAAAATTTCTGATGTTCTTGACAGACTTTTGCAATTTACTGTGTATGAATATATGGAGATAACGAACGGTATTCAAGTTCAGAAGTCCGTAAGAAAATACAAAATAAAAGCAGAGAGCAAAAACATACTGGAAACAAGAGGCCCATGGGCCACATCGCTCACCTGAGCACTAAGGGTAGGAAAAAGTAGAAAATGGCTTTTTATTGTAAAGTTTAAATCCAAAAGTAGTCCCATGACCAATCATGGATTTGCTTTTTTTTTAGAACATGATTTTTAAAGAATTTTCCTATATATATCAGATCTTTCAAAACTTTTTGGCCCCGCCCTACCCCTGGGGGTCATGATTTGAACAATTTGAATCTACACTACTTGAGCATGCTTCCGTATAAATATAATGAATGAATATAATGAATGATGGCTTTGTTATTCTTGAGAAGAAGATGTTTAAATAATTTTCCTATATATTTCTATGTAAAACTTTGGTAGGCCATTTTGGCCCCGCCCTACCCCCGGGGGTCATGATATGAACAAACTTGAATCTACACTACCTGAGCATGCTTTGTGGCAATGCACTTTGAAAAAATTACGCACTTTGAAAAATTTTTTCTAAGTGCGTTAAAATTGGAACAAAATCAACGTTAAATTTGGGACCAACTCAACGCACTTTGAAAAAAAATTTTCAAAATGCATTAAAAGTCTACATCAATATATTTTACCATGGAGACACTTAACGCACTTTGAAAAAAAAAATCATATTTTAGTCATGGAAAGATTTTATTTGTTATTTATCTTTCAAAAAACTAAGCCTAACCCTAACCTAAAAAATGAATTGATTTACTCCCGTCGAAAAGAGGAGAAGACGGGTATAAGATACCTTAGTCCAAATCTTTATATTTCCAATACATGGGTGTCCGTAACAAACGGGGGAGGGGAGCAATAAACCTAAAAATGCTTATACGATGTATATATATTTCCAAAATAAGTGGGGGGGACTTAGCCCCCCATCCCCTCCCCTGGCCCTTCGCCCAGTCTCGATGTTTATGCTATACTCAAAGCATTCATATTATTATGTATTTACCTAACTGGTATGACGTTGAAAACTTTCAATAATAAATGAGTTAATTAAAACAGATGAAAACTAGAAATTTTTAAGTACAGTAAAACGTATGAGAGAGAAAGAATTTT